TCTTTCTAACGGTTACTAGAACTGCTAAATACGTTCACTATTTAAAAAATGGCCACGTTGAGGATTTTTGCCCGAGTACCGCCGAAAGGTACTTTTTCGCTACATTGGCACTATTTCAACGACTATAGCTCCTTTTAAGGGCGATTATGTACTAAAGTAGGAGCAGATTCGGAATCCTCGTGCTTTTCTCTTTCCAAAAAAGTAAAATTGTTTAGCGTTCTCAACTTTAAAGGTTACATGCTTGTGAATTTGACGCTGAAGGCTGCGTTTCTTGTTGAATGGTGTACTCCTCCCTGTAATTTCACATGAACCCTTTCAGAATCCTCTTGATTTTCCTGAATTGAGATTCTTTCTCCAGAGAGCCGTAGCTGAAGCGCGCGCAACCAACTGGGCCCACTCTGGGATGCGCCGTGTGCTTCACATCCCTTCAGATTTGAGGACTCACTTGAAAGATAAAATATCCCTTGGAAAACGTGCGAATTTCGGATTCTTTAACTTGTGTGGTGATAAAACACTGAAGTAACTAAGAATTGCTAAGCGGACACCTCTAAATCACGATGTGGGCGGAATCAATTGTTATTGGAAATACTCTGGCCTGGCATCGACTCGATCCTTGATGTTTGTCCTCCGACGATGATCCTACTGCATCAATCTGGCCCGATCTCTTCCTCCCAGCGGGCCAATACGACCCCCCCCCCTGTGACATGTCGAGGATTCCTCAACGCACGCTTGACCCTGGCGTGGGACACTTTTGCTCTCAAGATCCGCCGTCACCCCTTCCAGAAAATCTTGGGAAGCAGTCATTATTTGAAGATGTTACCGACTTTCTATGCTGGTTTTTATTGGAGCAACCCGAATAGATTCAACTGATAAAATGCAAAAAGTTTCTGCACGAGCTCGAGGTGCGCCGCATCTCTCTTACGGATTGGGTTAATGAGAAAATTTTCGAACTAAACTTCTTTGCGACCACCAAAGTCAGAGGCAGTTGTTGCCAAAAAGTGAGAGCAAGTCTCCGAGATAACGTCTAGTTTACAACAGACTTTCTCCCGAAGGTGTGGTAGTTTGTGACGGGGTAACATCCAAAAGTGCAGCTCCATTGGAGTTCATCTTCAAATGTTAAAATTAACTCGAAGGTCTTGCAAAACGGGCATTTTGCTCAATGGTAGTTTGCTCTTCAATGAAAAATGGCTACCTAATACGCGATCAAATCGACCAAAGTCATCCGGAGCGCTTACTTACCGGAATACTTGGGATTGCGACCTTCATCCTACCTAACCCGATGGGCTCCTCTATGTGAGGATGTTGTAGATTAGCGCTTTAGAAGAAGTGATACGACATCGCCGTTGGCTACCTGCGGCGCACTGCTGATTTTGTCGTTGGACGTCAGAAGGCCTCTCTCAAAGCAGAGTCGTCAAATTCAAAGCACCTTCTGCACAAGTGATCAAATAGCTTAACTCTATCTTTGTGTGAAGTCGGTTTCCTGATCGAGTCTCTTCCTTGACTTTTACACACAAAAAACATGGCGTCGTTACTTACTTACTTACTTACGTTAGTTACTTTTTGGCCCCGTGTACGCTGGGTTGTGAACCAACCAACGTGAACAAAACATCCGCCGATGAAAATGTAGTTCGGGGAAGCCACTCATAATATCTAATCAAAGTGGCAATATCTAATCGAAGTGGAGCTGCGGAAGGGCGGTCATATCTAATCAACATTCAGAGCACAGGCTCTGAGTGCACGATTAGATAGGGATACCAACCCGGGATTCCATACAAAATCGGATACCTGAAAGGCCCTTTCGCCGAGGGCTTGCATGGCAATCGCAAGAAGGGTTGGTGAAAGTGAAGAGCCAGCAAGGTGACAGCCGTTTTCGCCATAGGACAAGGGTGACGAACTGGTCGTTTGCCGCTTACTCAGTGAAAGATATGATAAGATATGAGTGCCTTCCCGCAACTATACTTTGATTAGATATGAGTGTCTTCCGCTACTCCACTTCGATCAGATAGGGTAGCCCCCGAACTACATTTTTACCCTTTCGCCCCACGCGGGACTAGAACCCACACTTCTCGCTTTCCGAGCAAGTGCGCTACCGGGGCACCATTTCACTCCAACTCCCCGGTAGCGTAATTGGTAGCGCACTTGCCCGGAAAGCGAGAGGTGCGGGTTCTAGTCCCGCCTGGGGCGAAAGTTTTGTTCACACCCAGCGTACTTGTGAAACTCCAAACATTGTTTGCTTCTACTGTAACAAAAACAAAAAACAAATGATCTTTCCGCGGTGATGCGGATAAAAAAATTTCAACAATATTAGTAGAACAATTGTGCACATTGCTTGTAATAACTTTGGAAACACCCTACGCAGTAATATTTGTGGCACTTGCTGCAGCAAGTATTAAATTTTTTCGTACGATTCGCAGCTTACGTCCGTCCTTCCTCTCCGCAAGGTTTCTTGTAGCACCCAAAGCATCCTTTGCTTCTTCTTCATACTCATGTCTGCTTTTTCCAACCTATGAGTCCTTTTTGATTTTGACAAGGGATTTTCGCTGAGACTATTTTGTAGTTGTGATTCCAAAAAAAATCACCTCAGAATTGAGATTCAAGACGAGTTTTCTCTATGGTGTCACAAAAAAAGCCGGCGCGCATTTCATAGAAAATTATGTCTTTACTTACTCGTCATGTTTTGCTCGGAATGTGTTGACGGTACAAGATCAGTTGTGGAACTGCCAATCGTAGCTGTTGAACGTGGCTCAGGACTGGCATCTGCAAATTCAAGCTTCAAAAAACAAACATCCAATTTCGTTGAAGCGAATCAAATAAACAAAGAAAAGTCTTAGGAAGAGCATTCTTCTCGGCTTACTCGTTAATTGCGTTGACCGTACAGGATCAGTTGTGGAACTGCCACTCGAAACCGTTGAACGCGGCACAGCACTGGCATCTGCATCATCAAATTTCATAGAAGGCGAATTTCACATTCAACAAAGAAAGGTGGTGGGAAGAGGAATTATTCCAGCCTACTTATTAATTGCGTTGACGGTGCAGGATCGTTTGTGGAACTGCCAATCGTAGCTGTTGAACGTGGCTCAGGACTGGCATCTGCAAATTCAACTTCAAAAAACAAACATCCAATTTCGTTGAAGCGAATCAAATAAACAAAGAAAAGTCTTAGGAAGAGCATTCTTCTCGGCTTACTCGTTAATTGCGTTGACCGTACAGGATCAGTTGTGGAACTGCCACTCGAAACCGTTGAACGCGGCACAGCACTGGCATCTGCATCATCATTTCATAGAAGGCGAATTTCACATCAACAAAGAAAGGTGGTGGGAAGAGGAATTATTCCAGCCTACTTAGTAATTGCGTTGACGGTGCAGGATCGTTTGTGGAACTGCCAATCGTATCTGTTGAACGTGGCTCAGGACTGGCATCTGCAAATTCAAAGCTTCAAAAAACAAACATCCAATTTCGTTGAAGCGAATCCAATCAACAAAGAAAAGCCTAAGGAAGAGGCATTCTTCTCGGCTTACTCGTTGATTGCGTTGACCGTACAGGATCAGTTGTGGAAACTGGCCACTTGACGAAACCGTTGAACGCGGCACAGCACTGGCATCTGCACTCATCAAATTTCATAGAAGGCGAATTCCACATCAACTAAGAAAAGTGTTGGAAAAAGCCGTTATCCCAGCCTACTTATTAATGGCGTTGACGATGCAGGATCGTTTGTGGAACTGCCAATCGTAGCTCTTGAACGTGGCTCAGGAGCGGCACCTGCTAATTCAAGCTTCAAAAAACAAACATCCAATTTCGTTGAAAGCGAATCAAATAAACAAATTAAAGTCTGAGGAAAAAGCATTCTTCTCGGCCTACTCGTTGATTGCGCTGACCGTACAGGATCAGTTGTGGAACTGCCACTCGAAACCGTTGAACGCGGCACAGCACTGGCATCTGCAATCATCATTTCATAGAAGGCGAATTTCACATCAACAAAGAAAGGTGGTGGGAAGAGGAATTATTCCAGCCTACTTAATAATTGCGTTGACGGTGCAGGATCGTTTGTGGAACTGCCAATCGTATCTGTTGAACGTGGCCTCAGACTGGCATCTGCAAATTCAAGCTTCAAAAAACAAACATCCAATTTCTTTGAACGCGAATCAAATAAACAAAGAAAAGCCTAAGGAAGGAGCATTCTTCTCGGCTTACTCGTTAATTGCGTTGACCGTACAGGATCAGTTGTGGAACTGCCACTTGAAACCGTTGAACGCGGCACAGCACTGGCATCTGCAATCATCAAATTTCATAGAAGGCGAATTTCACATCAACAAAGAAAGGTGGTTGAAAGAGGAATTATTCCAGCCTACTTATCAGTGCGTTTGACGATGCAGTCGTTTGGATATGCCAATTCGTAGCTCTGAAACTTGGCTCAAGGAGGCCTGCTTATACCTTCAAAACAACAATCCAATTTCGTTGAAAAAGCGAATCAAATAAACAAATTAAAGTCTGAGGAAAAAGCATTCTTCTCGGCCTACTCGTTGATTGCGTTGACCGTACAGGATCAGTTGTGGAACTGCCACTTCGAAACCGTTGAACGCGGCACAGCACTGGCATCTGCAATCATCATTTCATAGAAGGCGAATTTCACATCAACAAAGAAAGGTGGTGGGAGAGGAATTATTCCAGCCTACTTATTAATTGCGTTGACGGATGCAGGATCGTTTGTGGAACTGCCAATCGTAGCTGTTGAACGTGCCTCAGGACTGGCATCTGCAAATTCAAGCTTCAAAAAATAAATATCCAATTTCGTTGACGCGAACGCAATAAACAAATAAAATCTGAAGGCAAAAGCATTCTCTCGCATATGGTTGAAGCTTGACGACAGATCAATCGGGAACTGCCAAATTGGAAACGATTGAACGCGGCACAGCACTGGCATCTGCATTCATCATTTCATAGAAGGCGAATTTCACATCAAAAAGAAGGTGTGGTGGGGAGAGGAATTATTCCAGCCTACTTAGTAATTGCGTTGACGATGCAGGATCGTTTGTGGAACTGCCAATCGTAGCTCTTGAACGTGGCTCAGGAGCGGCACCTGCTAATTCAAGCTTCAAAAAACAAACATCCAATTTCGTGAAAGCGAATCAAATAAACAAATTAAAGTCTGAGGAAAAAGCATTCTTCTCGGCCTACTCGTTGATTGCGCTGACCGTACAGGATCAATCGTGGAACTGCCACTTGACCCTGACGGCACAGCACTGGCATCTGCATTCATCATTTCATAGAAGGCGAATTTCACATCAACAAAGAAAGGTGGTGGGAGAGGAATTATTCCAGCCTACTTAGTAATTGCGTTGACGGTGCAGGATCGTTGTGGAACTGCCAATCGTATCTGTTGAACGTGGCTGGACTGGCATCTGCAAATTCAAGCTTCAAAAAACAAACATCCAATTCTTTGAACGCGAATCAAATAAACAAAGAAAAGCCTAAGGAAGAGGCATTCTTCTCGGCTTACTCGTTGATTGCGTTGACCGTACAGGATCAGTTGTGGAACTGCCACTCGAAACCGTTGAACGCGGCACAGCACTGGCATCTGCATCATCAAATTTCATAGAAAGCGAATTTCCCATTACAAAGAAAAGTGTCAGGAAGAAGCAATATGCCTGGCTTACTTGTTAATTGCGTTGACGGTTCAGGATCAGTTGAGAACTGCCA